TAAAATAAGTACTCCGTGCATTTCAAATACTCCACTCGGTATATTTCATAGAGATACTCCAGTCCACCCGTTATATTATAACATTTCAGTCTTATATTTAGAATTTGATCTCTTCAATTTATGTGTAGAAATTATTATCTTTTTTAAAAAATAGGTAATACTCCATAGTTTAAATTGCATATTTATTACTAATGAGATCATATCTTAACCGTATTCTCCTTACTCATTTTCTCTACTCATTTAATTAAATAATAGTCTTGTTACTACTTGTTTTATTAAAATTTTGATATACCTTTTAAATATATAAATTTTATTTTTTAATTCTGTAGAAATATAAGTTAAATTAAAAAATAATTTTTCTCAAACATCGTAAAAAATATCATGCGATTTAAATGGGTCAGAGAGTGTACTTACTAATCAACATTAAAATACTACTTCACCGTATCTCTTTAAAACGATATACATTATTTCAATGTTCTATATTCTTACATTTGTTTTGAAAACTAATAGGATAATTTTTGTTCATACATTCTTAATTCATCTATACTTCTATACTATATTTAAAAAGAGGTGAATTTTTTCTCGCCCATGTATAAGAGTAATATATGGAAATGTTATGCATTTTACTCATTGTATATATGTGGATGTACTAAATTTAGTAAGCATTAATTAATACTCCATAATTAATGGTAAATGGAATATATTAAGGATAACTTTGTATGAGCATTAAAAATGAAGAATTTCATAGAAGTATTAACTAATATGTAGTAATTAATTAATAATTAATGGTAATGTAGAATTTCATATTAACATTAAAAATTGGACTGATACGGCCGGAGATGAGGAGCTCTCGAGAGACGACGCCACGGACCATGCGACCACGCTCAACGAAGGAGACGTACAGACGGGACCGCTTGTTCGGCGTAGCAGCAGACCAAGGAAACCACCTGCATGGCAAGGCCATTATGTTAATTAATTATTGTACGCATTATTAATAATATTAATTATAATTTAGATTTTATTAGGTGAGCGAATTATAAGCTCCTTCGAGGGTTTCTTTACGGTTCTTTACCTCGTCGCTTTTCTTGAACCGTCAGGATAGCTAACGTAGTAATTAGGGTTAATACTTCTTGTTCTTTAAATATTGGAATACTCCTCCATAATGAATAAGAAGAAACTAATACCCAAACCCTAGCCTCCCTTAACCTTCCGCGCACAACCTTGTGCGACTTCTTTCTCTGCCTTTGCCCCCTTTGCTGGAGCTTGAAGACGCTCGAATTCTTCCCTATCCCGATACAACTCGTATCATGGACACAAATTTTTAATTATCTAACGAGTGTTTTTTTATATTTTGGAACGAGTCTCGGTTACACAAATATTTAAAGGTCTAACGAGTGTAAGTTAATTGTTTATTTTACTCAATGAAAAAAATATTGTTTTCATTGTTAATAAAAAAGGACTAAAATTCCAACAAAAAAGATATAAAACAGAGACATTACAACTATTGCTTTCCGTAAAAATGAATCACTGCAAAAAATTTTAGTTTCTTTTTATAAATGCTTCTTTGTTTATATGGAGTATATAGATCTGCACTTTATAGCAATTTGACAAAATGAAAAAAACAACCCAATTAACTCTGAACAAATTTTTTAACTGGAGTTTTGATTGATGTTATTTATATTTTAGTCATGGACAAATGTATATTGTAGTTTCAAAAGTAATACTAGTAAATCATAATTACTTGAAGATTCTAATGTGCAACGAAGACAGTATTTTCACAAATTTATACGAGTAATATGAATTACTCCGTATAAAGTAGTCTTTCAAATATTGTAAATCATTTAACTTTTGTAACTTAAAAAAATGAAATCCCTATATTCCATTATATACTAATTTGTAACATTCAAAAATGATGTTAGTATAATTTAATAACTTAAATATGACCCGTGCAACGCACGAGTGTGATACTAGTTAATGTCCAAAGACTTATTGATTTGCAATAAAGAAGGGGCAAAAATTACTACTCCGTATTAAAACTACCCTAGTATTGTACTCCCACTGGTAGAATGTTTATGCAAAAAAAGAGCGATTTTAGAATTAATGGTCTAAATAATTTATTTTTGGAGTATTCTTGTTAAATCAGAGATTTGTTGGGGCATTGGTGTAAATTTTTGCTTTTATCTAAAAATAATTATTCATGGTTTATTCTTAAAAATTATTGTTATCTTTAAAAAATTAAGTAACATGTGAAAGTTTCACTACCCTCAGTGTACAACCTGTAAAAATATAAGACTCGCAGGTTGTGACAGAGGATGTTGTAGCACTGCTTAATACCAAGTTATCAGACAGAGTGCTACACCAACCTTTAAGTAAACAATTAAGAACAGAAAATAACAACACACAACACACAAATTGTTTACGCAGTTCGGAGCAAATTCTCCTATGTCTACAAGCCCTTCCACTAAATCACCGTGATGGGTATATCCTTATACCCGACCCGGATAACCGAAAGGGACAGGTCATAATATGACCGGTCACTTTTATCAGTCACCAAATGAGGTTAACTCTTCGATTGGGACAGGTCACCGGTCACTTTTACTAAAAAAGTGATCGGTCACATTTTGGGCGATAGCCAAAATGTCACCTAATGTTGCGAAGAATTCAAGAAGACCAAAGTTCTGGGCTGAGCTCAAGAAACGACCGGTCAACCTTTGAGAAAAGGTGACCAGTCATGTCATCTTACTTGACAAACATTGGTCTAGTATCTTAGGCATGGTACGGTGAACCGCGTAAAAGATCGAGGGACCATCCCGCCGTTCGTCCATCACGAGACAAACAGTGAAAGTGATATTTGTCATCTTGCAGAGCTGATTGGATTGAGAATATCCATGTTAAAGTCTTTGATTGAACAGTGCTTCTTGGCTGTATTAGTAGCAAGTCTATGATTGAACAGTGATTAGATTATGTACAGTGGCCTTCCTCCGGGTTTCCTATTTTGTCCATGGGTGAACAGGGAAAGGTCACAAATCCTCATCTATAAATACGATGATATTGGATAGAGGAGGGATCTATTCTTGATTTCACTAAAAATAGTACACTCTTGAGACAGAGTAAGAAATATAATTCGGACTGAGGAGATTTACCCGGTCTAGGTTATACCTTGTGTTCTTGTTGTGTGTTTTATATTACGGGTCGAGTGTGTCCAGGTCAAACCCAGTTAACCCACCCATCTATATTTACACTGTTAGAATAATAGACCAATGCTAGAGGGGGGTGAATAGCGTTTGATCGGAGAAATCGCGGGAATTAAAAAATTAAAAGAGAAGTAAAGAGAAGAGTAAAAGGCACACCGAATTTTACCCTGGTTCACCATAACTTGTGGCTAATCCAGCCTCCCGAGAGACTCTCTCGAGCTACACTACTATCTCGTTAAGCTTGCGGGTGCTTAACAAACCGTTACAACTTGAGAGTTCGAGTCACACGAACCTCAACGAATCCTTCAAAGGAAACAGACCTTCCTTTGAATCAACCGAGAGAAATACTTTCTCTCAACGTGTCTAATAACACAAGTACACTCAAGAACGAGACTCTCTTATAGAGTAGATTATGAGTAAACTAAGTACGCTCAAGAACAACTCAACCTTCACACAAAATGGCTCTAGAAAGCTATGGAAAATGATGATATTTGAATGCAATGAAAGTATAGATGTTGTGAAGTGAATTGGTGAGAAAAGCAGACCCAAACACCCCTTTTTATAGTGC